CACTCCCGCCTTCGCTGCACAGCCCCCGCTCTGCCCAGGGACCCCTCCTCAGTGCTGGGCCAGGCGCAGACATCCCAAACCTGGGTCTGCCGGTGTCAGTGCTGGGGTGCCCAGGGGGGGTGGGAGGGCCCCATCCGCACGCAGCACCCCTGGGTGCTGACAGCACCCGTGCACGCAGGGTGCACGGGGTGCATGGAGGGGGTGCAGACGTGCAGCTCAGAGTGGGAGCGGGGTCCTCGGGGCAGCCCACAGTCCCCACCAGCACGTGCCGGGCAGGGGCAGAGGGGACATGGCAGGGGCGCGGGGGGGACGGGGTGCAGGTGCTGGCCCCGCGGTGCCTGTGCCTGGCAGCTGCCCGGTTTGCCAGCCAGTACTCACCGCCTCTCTCCTCTGGTGCGGTGCCCGGCTCTGCCCTGAGGACGAGGAGCCCCAGGAGGAGGAAAACCCCCGGCCTCGTGGTGCTGCCAGGAATGTCGTGCGTGTCCGGAGCTGAGCCAGGACCGGGTTTAGAGCCTCCGGCGGGGGTGCCCAGGGTGACAGGGCAGCCGAAGCTGTGCCGCTGGCCGTGGCAGGCTGGCCGTGCCGCAGGCACGAGGGGCAGGAGGAGCAGGAGGAGGGGCAGTTCCCAGAACCCGCCAGTGACCCGCCAGCCATCCCGCTTATCTCCGGCCGAGCCGTGCTCACGGGTCAGGGCGACCCGTGGGGTCCGGCGGCCGCTGTCCCCCCGCAGCGCACAGCCCCGTCCCTGCCACAGCCAGCTGTGACCCCCTGCCAGCTGTTCCCTCCAGCCCCACTTGCCCCTCGCCTCCCCAGGGTGGGGGCTGTGCACAGAGCCCACGGCTCGTCCCCAGCACGGCCGGGGGAGCAGCCGCAAGGGTCTGCCCCCACGGTGCTGCCCTGCAGCCATGGCTGGGCTCTGCCGGGCGGATCTGGCACCACGAGGTGGGAGAGGTGTCCTGCACCAGTCTGGCATCCCAGCACGATGATGGGGCTGGGCTGGGACCTGGGAATGAGCGGGTCCTGCCGTGGTGCCTGGGATGTGGGTGCTGCTCCCTGCCCCCTTCCCTGTCTGGGTGCTTCATCTACCTCAACCCGTGACTGCTTTTCCAACCAGGTTTTCACACTTTGGGATGCAAATGAGCCCTTCCTTGGTGCAAGGAATCCGAGGGAACTGGTTTCTGCGCTCCAGCCCGTGACTGCGGCCCCCAGACCCGGCAGGACAGTCACCACGGAGTGATGGTGGCTGGAGGGCACCCGCATGGAAAGGGGAACCTCTCCCTGCCCCAGGGCAGCGCCTGCCTGCACCTCCCTGCCTGTGCGCTGCCTGCGCCTCGGGGGAGCCCGCCGCAGGGGACGGTGACCCGGAGCAGACGGCAGCCGTGGGCCGGTTTATTCCGTTCCAGTGCTGTGAAGCAGCCGGGGGTGATGGTGGTGCAGGGGTGCTGGGGCTGCCGGGCGCCTTGGTGCAGCCCCCGACAGCACGGCCGGGAGGGGTGGGGGGTGCCAGGGACCCCGGCTGGGACCCTTCGGGGCGATGTCGGTCCCATCTTTCTGGCGGTGCCGAGGGTCCGGCACAGGGATGCACCCACAGGGGTGGGGAGCAGCCCCGAAATGGCAGCTCCTGGTGCAGCCTGTCCCTGGCAGAGTTAGGCTGTGCCTGGAAGAGACGGAGGAGGTGTCAGTGCAGGATGGGTGCTCCCACCCCGAGGGATGGGGAGCCCTGGGGAGCTCCAGGCTGGACCCGCTGCGAGGGCGAGACCCGCACGGTGCCCTGGGCTGCTGGGACCCAGGAGCCGCCAGTCTGGGGGGGCCTTACCCTGCAGTGGGGGCACGCACGCCCGGCCGCACCTCCGCAGGCAGCACTTCTGGCCGGGGGGGCAATCCTTGTCCTGCAGGCACAGGAGGAGGCACTTGGCTGTGCGGTCACTGTCGGCTGTGAGGGGACAGAGCCCTGGCCGCACTGGTACATGCAGAGAGACAGAGGGGTGAGGGGGTCCCCCTCTGTGGGCAGGGCACCCCTTTGGGGTGGGGGAGCTGCCCTGCCTGCAGTGGGGGAGCCCCTCACTCGGATCCTGCCCCATGGGGACAGCAGCTGGGTCCCCGAGCTCCCATCGCTGCCCAGGAGGGTCACAGCGAGGGGCAGCCCCTGGGGAGGGGTTGTACAGCCCAAGGGGTGCTGGCCCTGGCTGGGGTGGGGGGCTCAGCCTGGGACAGGGCAGGGAGGGGACGTGGGGGGGTCTCGGCCCCGTGTGGTGCTGGTGGCTTTACCCTCAGTGGGCGGTTTGCAGACGTGGCCGCAGCCGGTGGTGCAGCACTTGGTGGCCGCGGGGCAGTCGCCGTCGGTGTCACACAGCTCCAGGCAGGGTCCCAGGGAGCCCCTCAGCACCACGGGGCACGCACCGGCCTTGGCCGTGGCACGGCGGCTCCCTGGTGACGACGGGGACCGTGGCTGTGCTGGTTTCCTGCTTCCCCCAGCCCCGCTCCCGGCACGGCCTGGCTCCCCATCCTGCCCCACACCCTCCCTCCCAGAGCCCCATGCTGCCCTCAGCCTCCAGCCTCACACCCGCACCAGCCCGACCCAGTGAGACCAGTCACAGCTCAACAGGCGATGCCAGCTGGCAGCTGGAGCAGCGAGGGACAACCCTGGCTGCCGTCCCCACCAGCAGCCAGCCCGAGTGAGGGGCAGGATGGGGGGGTCGGGAGTGGGGGGAGCAGGATGGGGGCAATCACCCCCATCCGCCACAGAGGAGCTGGGCATGGGGATCCCCTCCCGCAGCACCCCGGGGACCTGCCCCTGCCCGGGGAGCTCATGAAGGCCGGGGCTGTGCCCGGGGTGGGTGCGCGGCACCGAGAGGCTGTGGGTGCCCAGCACCCGGGGGAGGGCTGGCGGGGCTGTACCCGTGTGCGGCGGGGCGCAGGCCAGCCCGCAGCCAGAGAAGCAGCACTTGTGGTCGCCGGGACAGTCCCGGTCGTCGGCGCAGCGGTTGGGGCAGGCAGCAGCGCCCCTCTGGGCACGCTTCCGCGGGCAGAGGCCGGGTTTGGCTGGAGGGGAAGGGAGGCTCAGGGCTTGGGGTGCCGCCGGCACGGCCCCAGAGTGCCCACGGCCGCCCCGCAGAGCGATGTGGGGAGGATGCGGAGCCGTGGGGCTGCCCACGGGGACACCCCGGCCGCCTTACCTGGCTCGGCGCGCACGCAGCGGGCGCAGCAGCCGCGGGTGCAGCACTTCTCACCGGGGCTGCACCCGGCGTCGTTGTAGCAGCTCGGCCGGCAGCTCGGCCCGCTGGCACTGCCGGTGTGGGGGCAGTAGCCCGGGCTCTCTGCAGAGGGAGATGATCCTTGTGGCCACGTGCCCAGGGAGAGGGGCTCGCACCAGGGGCACTCGGCACGGGCACCAGCCCCCACCCACCGCCCCGTCCCCCCGCCGGCACCTCTCGGGGGGCAGCCGGTGGTACCTGTGGCGGGGAGGAGGCAGCTCCTGGCCTGTCTGCTCTGGCAGCACTTCTCTGCGCCGGGGCAGCTGCGGTCGGAGAGGCAGTACAGCCTGGGGGGCCGTGGGGCTCCGCTCCCCATCACCGGGCACTCACCCGCTTTGGAGGGGGCAGGCAGGGCGGCGGGGGGCCAGCGACCCCACGGGGCCCGGCGCGGTGCCGGGGTGACCGCGGTGGCAGCACCCCAGTCCCCAGAGTGGTGCTGCTGGGTTGGGGTGGGCAGCAGCTCCACAAACAGCACCAGGAGCACCAGGAGGAGGGTGCGCTCGGCCGGCATCGCGCTGCTGGTGGGGAGCCGTGCCGCCGGGCCCGCCGGCGCGGATTTAAACCCTGCCGGGGTGGGGGCTGGCTGAGCCGAGCTGCTCCTTCCCACGGCAGCACCATGTCAGGACCGTGGGAGTGCTGGGCATGAACAATCCGGCTCGGGGGAGACTCCCGGGGCAGCGCTGGGCTCGCGGCCCGTGGCTGACACAGCCTCCGCAGCGCGCCCTTTCCAGGTCACCGGTGACCCGCGAGCAGCCGGGCCGGGGGGACGGGCACGCTGCCGCAGCCCCGGTGCCTGCGGTCCCCGAGGGCGAGCGGGGATGGGACCCAAGTCCTGTCCCTGGTCCTCAGTGTCCACGCAGCCCTGCCTGGGGAGCACCGCCGGTTGCCCCCCGGCACACACGGCGCGGGGAGAGCTGCTGCAGAGAGCCGCGGTGCTGAGCCGGGGTGCACCAGCCTGCACCCGCACTGCAGGGAGGGGGGGAACCGGCTCCGGGCTGTGCCGGGCAGGGTGGGGGGCTCACTCTGCACCAGGGGAACGCTGTCCTCTGCCAAAAGTGGGGGATCTGGAGGGGCCCGGCCCCTCGAAGGCAGGTGGGACTGGTCGCTCCAGTGCCGGGGGCTGGGAGTGGGGCGGGTGCGGGAGGGTTGCGGGGAACAGGAGGTGCTGGGGAGAGCAGGGCAGGAGCAGGAGCGGGACCCAGCTCTGAGCAGGCACGGGATGGGGGACAGCCATGGGGCGGGGGCCCATGGCTCCGTCAGGCTTCTGCCACGGGCAACGTGACACTGTGGGGCTGGGGGCGTGTGGGGCAGGAGGGGGTTTGGGTGCTGGTCCCATAACAGCACACACTGGCAGCATCCCCGTACCCCGGCCATGGCAGAGCAGAGAGCGGCTCTGCTCTGCGGGGGCATGGAGGCAGCCCCGCTCCCAGCACGTCGGGGCAAAGGCCAGGGAGATGCTGTGCCAGGGCAGCCCGGGCCGTGGGGCAGCCTTGGATGTGGGGCCGTGGGGCCATGGGGCCATGGAGCCGTGGGGCTGTGGGGCCGTGGGGCAGCCCCCAGTGGGGGCGAGGCTGGGAACCCTTGGGGACACGGTGCAGCCAGTCGACGCTGGCGCTTGTCGCGTGGAGCCCTTCCAGGCAGCCCCGGCCCCAGCACCAGCGCCCGGCAGCAGCTGTGGCGGGCAGGATGCGGCCAGGAGCGAGCAGAGCGGCAGCGTGGCGGGACAGAGAGGCGACCACGAGCGCGGCAGGGAGAGGCTGCTTTATTGGTGAGAGTGCAGGGGGCTGCGATGCGCCCCGAGCAGGGGACCCCGGGGAGGAAGCTGAGGCTGAAGGCTCCGAGCCGGGAGCATGGCCGGGCTGCGTTTGGATGGTGCGGGGCCGGGGTCTGGGCGTGCGGGACTCGCGTCGGGCAGCAGCTTCCCTGCGGCCGGGCTGGCAGGAGGCGGCTGCGCCTGCAAAGGGAGCAGAGGGCTGTGAGCGGGGCGGGCGCGCGGGTGCCGTGCCGTGGGTGCTGCGGGACCCCGGGGCTCGGCGGGCGCCCGACTGACCTCAGTGGAGGGGCGTCACGCAGGAGACCTTGCCGCAGCCGTTCCTGCAGCACTTCTGGCTCCCGGAGCAGTTGGAGTCCGTCTTGCACTGGTTCGTGCAGACGCCCAGCATGGGGATCCCCGGGCTGACGGGAGGGCACGTGCCGGGCTTCTCTGCAAGGGCGAAGGGACGTGGCCTGAGACCTGACGGCCCCGGCGCGAGGGGCAGGGCTGACCCTGCTGTCCCGGAGCCACGGGCACAGCCCTGGCCCCTGGCTGCCACGGAGGACGGACACCCATGCCGGCCGGTGGCCCCCCACCCCACGGCTCTGCCCGTTGGCGCTCCTGCCAGCCTGACACGATGGGGACACGCCGGGGAGGCCACGCGGCGTGCTGGCCCCCCGTGACCCCTGTGCCCAGCCTGCCGCTCAGGGGTGCGTGGCCGGCACAGGACGTGCAGCCGCGGCACGCAGCCCCGACGGCGGCCCCGGCCCCGCTTTCCCCCACAGCTGCCGAGGGCTCACCAGGGGACACGTGCTCCCAGGACAACCCGCGCCCCAACTGCGTGGGACCCCTGCCTGCTGTCCCACCGCCTGCCGCTGCCGGCCACCGGCGCTGGGCCCCTGGCTCAGCACCACGCCGTCCTCTGCTGTGGCATGGCCGGGCCGGCTCTGTCCTCGCCGCCAGCAATGGAGCTACGGGAGCCCCCAGTTCACACCCACACGTTTGCAGCTGGAGATCCCCAATCCTGCACCCGGCTACTGGGGCTGCCCTCGGGCAGGACCGGCGCGGGGAGCGTACTCAGCCGGGTGGCTGTGGGGCCCTGTCCGGCGCAGCACCGGGGACGACGCCGGTGGGAGACTCTTCCCCGGCGTGGGGTCGGGAGGCAGGACAGTGCCCACGTCCGGGGCTGGTGGCCCCTGCCCTCCTCACCGGCCCCAGCGCTGTTCGGAGGCGCCCGCTCAGCCCCCGTGCCGCTGGGTGGGGGTGACACCCCGACCCCGCCGGGCTCCCCCCAGTGACCGCGCTGCAGCCGGTGCTGCCGGCTGGGACGGGCTGTCGGCTCGCGGCAGCGGCACCGGCGCCGGGCAGCGGTGCCGGGACCGGGAGGGAGCGTTACCGTCGGGCTTCTGGCAGGCCTTGCCGCAGGCCGCCGGGCAGCACTTGAGGGTGCTCTCGCAGTCGCCATCGGACTGGCACCCCACCGTGCAGTTCACCGCGTCCACCGCCGGGTCCGGGCACACGCCGGCTTTGGCTGCAAGGCAAAGGCGGAGGGGGTGGGTGGGCGCCGGGGCTGCCGGCCCGAGGCGGGAGATGCTGCCGCCAGCCCCAGGGCTGCGTCCAGGGATGCTGCTGCGCCCGACCGCGCCGGGCACCGGCTGGCTCTCGGCCTCGGCCCCCACCCCACGGGCCCTGGGGCTGGGAGTGATGCTGGCCGCTGGCCCGGGGCGCGCCGAGCCGTGCCGAGCCGTGCGCTCATACTCACTGGTGACATTCTGGGCGGATGCTGGAGGCAGCTCTGCCCAGAGAGCCAGGAGCCCTGCCAGGACAAGCACGCTGCGGGCCTTGGGCATGGTGCGGGAGCCGGCGATGCGCCTGTGGGGCCGCCCGGCCGCCCTTTAAGCTCCTCTCCAGGTGGGGCCGGCGGGCGGGAGGGCTCGGCCTTCCGGGTGGCTCCCAAGGGCCGGGCAGGGCCAGGCTCCCCCTTCGCGCTTGCACAACCCGAGTATCAGGTATCTGCCGCTGCTGGCTGCCGACCAGGAAGGGGGAGCCTCGAGGAGACGGGGCGGCCATGCCGAAAACTCGCCCGGCAGGAACAGCGGCCAACCGCCACCGGCCGCGGCCCCTGCGTGCCGCACGCCGGACCCCGGCCGGCCCCAGCGCCGAGCCAGCCGCGGGGATGCGGCGGGTGCCGCCGGCGGGAGCACGGCGTGCCGGGCACAGGGCACGGTCTGTCCCTGCCACCGCCCCGGCTGCGAGTGCAGCTGATGGCCAGGGGCTGGGACGAGCCGGCGGCACGGCCGGGAGCTGCCGCTCGCCCGGCTGCTGCTCCAGCCACTTGTTCTCCTCTGGCTTTTGCTCCTCGACTGAAGGACCCTCCAGGCTGCCCGGTGCCAGCCCCGGGGTTCCCCCCGCGCCTCCCCGGCAGCTCCTTCTGCCCGGCCGCAGCCCCGTCCCGTGGCCCCCGCCATCCTCGCAACCTCCAACAGCCCCAGGGACGTGGCCCGGGCCGGCCGGCAGCACCGGTTGGGCGAGTGGCTGGCGAGGAGCGAGCCGCCGGCACGCTCTGGCCGCGCGCCCAGTGCTCTGGGGCACGGCGGTGCCGGGGGCCATATGACCCCCGGCCCCCTCGGGTCTCTCTCACGGCACACGTGCCACCCTGCCTGGGCACGGTGCTCCGCGGCACCCGGCAGCGCCGAGCCAGGATAGGCGCAGCTAGCCAAGCAGCCCAGATCCCGCGGTGTGGCCACCCTGCTCTCATCAGCGTTTGCCACCCTACCAGTTCCCATCTCCTCCACAGCCGTTGTCAGTGGTGGCTTTAATTCCCCCGGGGCTGCCGATGCTGGGGGAGCAGCCCCACGCTGTGCCGGGGGGGGCCTGCGGCTTCCGGCCCCTTTGCTCACAGCTCCCGGTTTCGGCTGGATGCCTCGGGTCGTTTGGCTGCTGTTGTGAGGTGGGTCCCTCCTCACCGTGCTAGTGCTGCCCAGCCGGGGGGCATGGCTCAGACCCCTCTAATGGGAGGCAATCCCAGAACATCCCAGCTCCCCGGGCACAGAGGCTGAGCCTCTCCTGCACGGGGAGGAAGGTGAGACCTGCCCTGTCTCCGGTGACGCGCCCTCCTGCTCCAGGCTGGAGCATCTCACAGACCCGCGAGGGCCAGGGGCGCGTGGGGCCGGGGACACGGTCCCTGCCCCAAGTCACGAGCCGGTGACCGCTCTGCCAGGGTCCGTCTCCAGGTAATTTAACCCCACAGTCAACAATGCGGCACGGAACAGCGTGGCAGTAAATCAGTAACTGTTTGCCTTTGCCTGCGGTCCCCTCCCTGCTGCGGGTGTTTATGCAGGAACAGGAGCCGGCACGGACGGCCCAGCCGCCCTCCCTGCTTGGCCGCCGTCGGCAGCGGGAGCCGAGGTGTGGGGACGGGGGACGGGCCCGGGGCAGCGGGGAGAGCGGCGGAGCAGTCCCTGTCCCTGCGCCCTCCGGGCTGGGGTGCTCGGCGGCTGGGTGCCGGGGACCTGCCGGGGGGGCTGCCGGGACCCGGCTGCGCTCGGGCTGGCCGGGATGCTCCCACTTTGCCCCTGCAGCTGGATCCCACTGGGGACAGCGCTTGAGGGAACTGGGCTGGGCTGGTGTTTCCAGCCCAGGGCCGATGCCGGGACTCCCTGAATAAAGGTGTCCGTGTTGCAGCGCGGTGGCCCCCGGGGCGGGAGGGCAGTGGTAACGTGGCTGCTGCAAGCGTGAGCATGAACAAGGGCCCTGCGCCGTCCCTGGCTGTGCGGCACAGGGCCAGAGCCCACCGGCACCCAGCAGCAGCTTTCCTGGAGCAGCGGCACTGCTGCCGGTTGGACGCTGCCCACCCCGCGGCACCGTCCCCGCTGACAGCCCAGGGGCTGCCCCGGTGTCCCACCGTCACTGAGCTCCGCTCCCGTGCCGGCGCTGCCAGCGGCGCTTGCCTTTCGGGGTTATTGCCCCCCTCTGACCCCATAACTGCTCTGCCCCAGTGCGTCGATGTCCTTGGTGCCGGCGGCGAGTGTGGGTGCCAGCAGCCCGGCTGCACCGGGGCAGCTGGACGGGAGCAGACGGGATCCCAGAAACAGGCTGGTGGCAGGAGACAAGGGGGAAACCCGGGAGGATGGCGAGAGCTGCGGGTAGCAGCGTGGGCGGCGGTGGGTTTGCCCAAGGTTGCACCTTGGTGCTGGCGTGCCCGGCTGGCTGCCGAGAGGCCGATCCAGCCGGAGCTGCCCCCGGCCAGCCGGAGCAGCCGGAGAGGGACTGAACGTGCGGCGGGGCCAGCAGCTCCAGCCCAGGCAGTCAACATCGCTTCACAGGAGACAGAAATGCTCTGGCTCCCATCCCCAGCACATGGCATTCGGGATGCTGCTGTCCCCACCCTGGCTCTGCCAGGAGCTTCCCTGACAGGGGCCGAGGACGGCCGTGGGGAGCACGGGGGTCTGCCAGCACGGCCATGGGCAGCCGTCCCCGTGCCAAGGCACGTTCCAGGGGAGGATCCTGGCTGAGGGGTCAGGATCAGCAGCCCTGACCCCAAAAGCTCTTCCCTGCAGCATCCCCGGGTGGCAGTGCCCGCTGCCGCCCAGCCCGGTCACGCTGGCTGCGCCCAAGCCCTGCGGGTGACCGTGGCTCCTTCGTGGCAGCAGGGAAGGTGCTGGAGTCACGTCTCCCTGCCTGCCTGCCGGGGGAGGGCGGTCAATGATTAAAAGGTGAGTGCTGCTGGCCAGGCAAGGTGCCCCCCGGGACGGCTAGCCAGCTGCCCGCTGCCGTCATGGAGCGGGGAAAGCAGGAGAGGGACAGAGAGGGATGCCCCTTCCCCTGGGAGGTGTCAGGCCCTGGCAGCCGGCAGCTCGGGGTCCCCGTGCGGGAGATGATCTGACCCCTCTGGGGCCCGGCCGTGCAGCCGGCTGGCAGCTGAAGGCCGGTGACCCCGCGGGCAGGAGGGTTCCCACCGTGTCCCCCCGCCCGCCCGCGCTGCCCGCCGGGCACAGACCTCAGCGGCCCCTCTCCGTGCTGCAGAGCTGGAGCCGTGCGGTTTGGTGGTGGGGTGTGGGGTGCCCCAGAGCCAGGGAAGCGCCTGGCGCTGTGCTAGTGTGCTTGGTCTTACCTGCTCATCCCACGCGGGACCCCCGGCCCAAGCCAGCCCCACAGCACCCCGAGAGCCGGTGGGACGCGGCCGCCCTGTGCCCCCCAAGCACTCACCCATGCCCCCAGGAGCCGCAGTGGCCAGCTGCAGCTGGGCACACAGGGCCAGGATGCCCACGAGCAAAATGCCAGCAGTCTTCATGGTGCTCCCCACGGGTGCCGGATGGCCAGCGCGGGTGGACGCGGGGGTTTATATCCGCACGGGGCTGGCGAGGCGCCGCCTCACACATAACTTTCGGGTTCCGAAACTCGCTGCGTTTCACAGTTGTGCCCGAGGCAGCGACAGCCCCACGACGTGTTATTGCCTGAGAAATCATTTACCATGGCCCCGTCCCAGCCCCAGCAGCCAGGCTACAGCCAGGGTGGGGGATGCCAGCGCCCAGCGACACCCCCCCAGGGGAAAGGGAGATGCAGCCACCGGTCAGGGCCACCCCTGTGGCCACGGGGAGCCCGGAGGAAGGGGCTGGAGCTCTGTGGCTTGGGCAAGTGGATAGAGGGGACAGGGAGAAGGCCGGTACATCCAGAGGGGCCCAGCGGGTGTGGGCAGCACTTTCTTCCCACGTCTGCAGGAGCTGGGGGTGCCGGGGGAGGCCCGCAGGCTTGGGGCAGAGGGCAGACAATCCGCTCTCCGAGCTGTGGGACTCGACACTGCAGATGGCAAACGCTGCCCAGGTGTGACAAGGGATTAGACGAGTTTATGGGACAGGAACCCGGCGGGGACTGAGCAGGAGGATGCTCCCCTGGGGTGGTGGCTGCCCTTGTCCTTGGCCGTGCCCACCTCGGAGAGCCAGTGCCTGCTCTCCTGCTCGCCCCGGTGCTGGCCCGGCGCCCACATCCTGCTGCGTCGGCCGGCGGAGCCGGGGGTGACACCCGGCCGTGCACCTGCGGGGCGAGCGTGGCCTCGGGGGGAGAGCAGCCTGTGCGACGTGCCAGGCTGGGCGCACCCGCCGCCCCGCGCACCCAGCACCATTCCTCTGCGGGGACAGGCAGGCGGCTGCCGACACGTCCCGGCAGACGGGTGCTCCGGCGGGGTCAGCACCGGGGCTGCGGCTGCCTTCCACCTCCCCGCGCACCGGGACGGGTGGGAGGCAGCCCTGGATGGCTCAAGGAGGGGGGGGGGGCAAGCCCAAGGTTAACGGTGTGGGGAGGTCACAGGGAGCCTGGCACAGCCAAGCGTGCCGAGGGCGAGGTGTGCTCCATGCCCGGGGACCCCACGGTGCTGCCGCTGCCGTGCCCTGAGACCTTCGCTCCCGGCACCCCGTCCCACGCAGTGCAGGGGGCACAGCCGGGCTGAGCACATCCCTGCTGGGGGGGTCTGCAGTGTGACACCTCTTGCCAAATTGCTGCCATGCCAGTGCAGCACGGTGTGCCCCATCAAACAGCGAAAGGCACCGGCGGGTGCTGCCAGCACGGAGGGTGGAGGGGTGCAGGGGGGGCTGGCAGGGCTGCAGCAAGGCACGGGGGGATGGCCCCTGGATGCAGTGGGGTGACCTGGGTTTTTGAGGGGCTGGTGGAAGGGGCTGGTCCTCTGCCGGAGCTGGACACGGGGAGAAAGGCCTCAGCCGGGGGACGCCGGGGACAGTCCCCGCCTGGGGGCTTGTCACAAGGCCAGCCCGGCTGGAACAGGCATCTTTGTGCTGTGGCCCACGTGGCCTCTGCGGTCTCATATGGGGTTTTACAGCTCAACGATCATATTTCCCCGCTTGGAAATTCCTGTTTGCGTCATCCCTGCCCCAGGTGGCCAAATGCACTTGTTGCTACAGAAACTCCGGGGCTTGAAGCGAAGGGAGCCATTCGCGAGGGAACGGGGGGCTGCGACAGCCGCCCCAGCCCTGGCTTCTGCGCACGGGGTCCCTCTGAGTGACACCTTTGCCCTGACGTGGCACGTGCCGTGGTGGTGATGCGTGGAGTCACCGCCTGTCCCAAGCAGCACCCAGTCCTCGGGCTCCTCACTCCGTGGGCCTTCGGCCTCGTGCCCTTCCTCCCCCGGCTGCTGCGCGCATTACGGTGCACGTTATGGCGTGTAGCCGCGTGTCCTTAACGACGGCGTGTCCGAGTCCTGCCGGCACACGGTAGTGTGAAGCCTGGCGTGTCCTGCTGCCACTGTGCCCCAGCCGTGGGGGACGGTGCCCCTGGTCTGTGCAGCCCCCTCCCTCCCCTGCAGCCCCCTCCCTGCCTGCAGCCCCCTCCCTCCCCTGCAGCCCCCCCTCTGCCTGCAGCCCCCCCTCTGCCTGCAGCCCCCCTCTGCCTGCAGCCCCCTCCCTCCCCTGCAGCCCCCTCCCTCCCCTGCAGCCCCCTCCCTGCCCTGCAGCCCCCTCCCTCCCCTGCAGCCCCCTCCCTGCCTGCAGCCCCCTCCCTCCCCTGCAGCCCCCTCCCTGCCTGCAGCCCCCTCCCTGCCTGCAGCCCCCTCCCTCCCCTGCAGCCCCCTCCCTGCCTGCAGCCCCCTCCCTGCCTGCAGCCCCCCCTCTGCCTGCAGCCCCCTCCCTCCCCTGCAGCCCCCTCCCTGCCTGCAGCCCCCTCCCTGTCTGCTGCCCCCGCCTGCGGTGTCTCGCAGCTCCGGGGGCTCCGGGGGCTGCGAGGGCCGATCCCGGCGGGCCCGATCCCGGCGCAGCATCCCGGGCGGCGGCCGGCAGAGGAGGCTGTTGCTCCGTCAGAGCGGGCCGGGCCGGGGCTCGGGGCTCGGGGCCGGGCTCCGCGGGGCTCCGGGAGCGCCGGCCCGGCCCGGCCCGGGGGCGGGGAGGGGCGCGGGGCGCTGCGCCAGCCCGGGCCGGGGCCGGGGCTCCCGGGCGGTATTTAAGCGGCCGCGGGCGGCGCGGGGGCAGCGCCATGAAGCCGGGGCTGCTGCTGCTACTGGTGCTGCTGGCCCCCCCGGGCCCCCCCGGCCACTGCCGGGCGGCTTCGGGGAACCGCCTGCCAGGTGAGCCCCGGCCCGGGGTGCGCTCTGAGCTCGGCCCCGCTCCCCGCCACCGCCCCGCTGTCCCCTGGCCCCCGCGGTGGGGCTGCGCTGGGGCGGGGGGCGCGGGCCGGGACATCCCACGGGGTACCTCCCGCCCCGGCCCTGCTGCAGAGCCTGGGCCGGACCCCCCCGGGAGCCGCGCGGGACGTGCCCCCCACCCCCCCGCCTCACCGCGGGGTCCCGGAGCGGCGGCTCCTCCGGGGCAGGTCCCGCCGAGGGGGGCCTTGCGCAGGCTGGGGGGCCCTGCCTGCGCACCGTAACCCCCTGCCCGTCCCCCCCAGGGAAGCTCGGCCAGTGCCCCCCGCCCGCCAGGACCCCCCTGATGCCTTGCGACGTCTCCTGCTCCTCGGACGCGGACTGCCCGGGCAGCGAGCGCTGCTGCCCCACCGGCTGCGGGCGGGAGTGCCGGCTCCCCACCGGAGGTAAGGGGGTCCCTTCCCCCCCGGCAGCCCGCAACGAGCCCGTGCTCGGCCCCCCAAGGAGGGGGGGACACGCTGCAGCCACCCCGGGGAGCGGGTCCTGCAGCCCTGCCAGCCCCCGCGCCCTGTCCCGGCATCTGGATGGGATGTGCCGGGTCCGGGCTCCTCTGAGCACTTGTGGGGTGCTTCACCCCCAAGGGCCAGCGTGGGTGGCCCCTGCACCCAATCCCCCTGCCCGCAGCCCCTGCGATGTAGGGGGACAGGGGTGGTCTGGGGGGGGTGGTAGGCTGGGTGGTGGGAGCGGGCAGGGGCTGGTGGGGCTCTGACCTTGCTGGGCACCCCCAGTCAAGAGGGGCTTCTGCCCGCGTCTGGACCCTGGCCTGGTGACCATCTGCCTGGTGGAGTGCAGCAGTGACGGGAGCTGCCACGGCACCAAGAGGTGCTGCAGCATGGGCTGCCACGTCCACTGCGTGCAGCCGGTACCAGGTAAGGGTGGCCAGGGCTGCTCGGCAGGAGGGGGGCCACGAACAGGACAGACCCCACCCGCGAGCCTGTCTCCTTCCCCACCCGCAGCCAAACCGGGCGTCTGCCCCAAGAGAAGGGTGCTGCACACCTTCGCGCCCTGCAACAGCTCCTGCAGCGACGACACCGACTGTCCCCACCACGAGAAGTGCTGCTTCACGGGCTGCGGCCTCGGCTGTCTGCCCCCGGCCAGAGGCACCACGGCCCCGCTCCTGCCCGCTGGCGGGGGACAGCGCCTGCGTCCTGCTGCCCACAGCAGCCCCGCGTCCTCGGGTGACATCTGTCACCTCCCTCCCGTGCGTGGCCCGTGCAGGGGACGCTTCCGTCACTACGCCTACAGCCCGGCCACGGGGACCTGCCAGCCGTTCACCTACAGCGGCTGCGGGGGGAACCCCAACAACTTCAGGACGGTGGAGGAGTGCCAGCGGGTCTGCTGGCAGGCGGGTGAGAGGAGGGGCTGCACTGGGCTGGACTGGGCCAGGCTGGGCTGCCGCTGCCCTGGCAGAGGGGGGGGGCCGGGCAGGGGGTGGGGGTGCCGTACCTCCCCACGGAGCGAGGGCAGCCTCCCCGCGGCACGGAGAGCAGCAGCACTCCACCTCACCCCGGCACACCGCCTGCCTGTGCCCCGGCACGGGGGCCGCAGGGCGATTCTGCTGGGTGATTTTAACCAGCTCGCAGCTCCGTCCTGGGAGCTGGCGTCGTCTGTCTTCAGAACCAGGAAATAGTGTTAGTAATCATAAATTTGCAGCCTGATTATATCAAGGTAGGAAACCTGACCGCCGAGGCGCTCAGCCTGCATGGGCGGAGGGAGCAGCCTGCTCATGCAAGTCGCCTTCCTAAGTCTCTGCTGAAGGTGTTTGGCACAGGGTGTGTGCTTGGGAGAGCAGGCGGCTGGCGGGGCCACAGTGGCCCCCATGGGGGGTGTGTGTGGGGGGTCTGTCACCGCGTGGTCACTCTCCTGGTTGTGACACTCATTTCCGAGTGGAGCTGCGGGCGGTTGGGGCTGTTGGTGGTTGAGCAACTGCCACGGCTGCTCAGCTTCCCTGGCACGGCCGTTGTGCCTCCACGCAACACCGGAACCATGAGGGCTGAGCCTGGAGGTGCCACATCCCTGGGGGCCAGGCCCGGGGGGGCAGCCCGTGCCAGGGACTGGGGGGGTGAATGCACCAGGGGTGAGTGCAGCAGCTGATCCAGGGCCAGCCACTCCCCAGCACCAGCGCCCTGCTGCCTCCCCCCACCCTGCCTGCACCCACTCCTCACCATCCTCTTTTGTCCCCCAGGGAGAGCCAAGGAGTGACCCCGAGGAGGAGGTGGCAGCAGTGGGGCCCGGGGGCTGGGGTCTGTGGTGGTGCTGGCCACCGCGCTCTGCCCCACACAATAAAGTCACCAGCACGCCTGGCTTGCAGCAGCGCGGCCTCCCCTCTCTCCTGACCCACGGTTCCATGTGCTCCCCAGCACCTTCCTGCTTCCCTTCCCGGCCACAACCACCTGCGCTGGAGCTGCGAGCCCAGACCCTGCCCGAGCCCGGGGACCCCATACCCAGCTCGTGGTGGCAGGCGGCCACCGGCAGCCCCTCGCTCCCAGCTCTCGGCCCGGACCCCCAGCAAACCCCTGCGTTGCCCACAGCCACTTGCTGCCAGTTCAGTCCCTGGGGAGAGCACGGCCAGGGGACATGGGTCCTGCTGCTGTGCCGGGGGTGGGACAGGGCGCAGGTGCCCGTCCCCGTGCCAGCCTCCACTCCTGCCACCAGCTGGGCTCTGGGCTGGGGCCAAGGGCTCGTGTCCTTCCTGCTCGGTGCCATCCCGAGCCCGGTGCCCATCCCGGGAGCTGCCACGTTCCCGCTGCCGCCCGGAGCTCGCCCTGGTCTCGGTGCGGGCAGCGGGCATAGGGTGCAGCCAGGCCTGGGGCAGGAGCAGCTCCCACGGGGGTGGCACTGTCCCTGCCGGGCACCGCCACTGCGAGCCAGGGACCTCCAGGTCTTCCCCAGAAAAACCTCCTGTCAGTGCTCATCCTGTCTTATTAATTTGCTAATTAATGACGGCCCAGAGAGGGGAGGGGGCTGCGGATGAGTGCGTTGCCTGCAGATGCTGGGGCCGTTCCCGGGAAGGCTGAGCAGGGGGATGGAGTACCCTGGCGTGCTCCGGGACAGCAGCACCTCTGCGGCGGTGACACCCCGGGCTCCGCCTGCCACCGCAGGGACCCCGGAGCTGGGGTCAGGGGCGGGTGGAGCCGCGGGGCTGCCCCGGGTCCAGGCTCGGCACTGCCTCCCTCCTCTGCCTCGGGTGCAGCAGCCGCTGGCACCGGCTCACCGACAGCCCTTGCTCGGGGCAGCATCGCCAGGGAGCTGGTGCCGAACTGGGGGGTGATGCCCACCCTCTCTGGCAGCGCCCCGGTGCCCCCGGCCCCACGGGGACAGGTCTGGGGAGCTGGGGGCTGCGGTCAGGAGTGCCTCAGAGGTGGCGTTCGCCCAGAGTGAGTGGGTTTTCGTGTCAAACCTGCAGCAGCCAGATGGTGCTGTGCATGCTCCCTCCCCACGCGCCGCTGGCCGTGGCTGCTGGTGAGCTCTGCAGGCAGAGACAGTGAGGAACTTGAAACAGAAAAGAGGAAAACCTGCTGAAAGTGCCAATTTGTTATTCAGCTCCCTCCTCACCTGCTCTGCTTGGCCCTGGGATGAAAGTCCCTGTGTGGGGCAGCCGGGGGGGGGGGTACCCCAGCCCCAGCACCCCGTCCCTGGCGCTGGTGGGGGCTGTGACCGCTGCGCAGGGAGCTTGGGCAGCGCCACAGCACTCAGCCCCGGGGCTGTCCCCCAGCTCAGGGCGAGGAGGGTGCCCGGCCCAGGCAGGGTGCTGCCCACGCCAGCCCCCCCCTCAGCCCCCGCCAGGCCGTCCCCCACAGTCGGGCTCCTGGGGGTTGACGGCACCGGCCGCCTGAACGCGGCACGGAGGCTGCTGCTCACGGCAGCTCTAATCGCTCCCATCCGTAACCGCTGGCTGCGGCGACACCGAGATGGAGGCGCGGGGGGAGCCGGGGCTGGGCTGGTGACGGTGACGGTGACGGCTGCCCGCGGGCAGGCGGCAGAGCCGGCCCGGTGCCACGCCGCGCAGCCCGGCTGGCGGCACGGCCACGCATGGCGCGTCGGCTGGCGGCACGGGGAAGGCGGCCTCCCAAAATGGGGTTTTTATTACAGCCATACATCACCACGGCGGCCTGATGCGGGCGGACGGCGGTGATTTTTCTTCCTGGTTTACAGACAAATGAGGGGAAGGAAAATTGATGTGAACTTTGCTATAGCGAGAGGTCGGGCGCGGGCAGGGAGCTGGTTATGGATGAGCTGGGGGGCTGCCGGGGTTGCTGGCCCCCCGGCCCCTCCCAGCCCCCTTCCCCAGCTGGGCTGGCTGGGAGCACTGGCAGCGGCAGGACCGGGGTATTGCGCCCGCCGTGGGGACTGTGCTGCTGCTCCGGGGGGCTGGAGGTGGGGGTCCGGCTTCCCCGGCCCCCCCATCACCCACAGCACAGCCCTGAGCCCCGCACCCACCCTTGTCAGAGGGATGCTCGGCCGCTCGGGGCGGGGGGAGCACCACGTGGGCAGGGTTATTAATTCCCGCAGATATTCATTAGCGCTGCAAATGCAGTTTGGACGTGCAGCGGCGGGCGGGCAGCTGCCACCGGCTTCTGGTGAGATCTCGACTGCTTTCACCACAATTAAAGTTGCCTCCAAACACCACGGTCCTGCCCAGTATAAGATAACAGTTAATACCCTCAAATAGCAACTATCAGCTTCTCCATAAGGCTCATAAATATTAATACAATTCTAATTAGTTCCTTTAAATACATTGCCTAAATTAAGCATTTCCTCAGCGATAGATAAATCAGCGGTGGTTTGGCACCCTGCTCACACCCATTAAGCAGATCATGAGTTCTCCCTGCCTGCCCCACGGCTGGTCCCTGCTTGCTGGGGGATGGGATCCACGGCAGCCCGCGGCCGTGCCGTGCCGGGCCGTGCTCTGCCGGTGTGAGGGCTGGCGGGGCCCAGCCGTCGGGGTTCCAGCCTTGGGATTTTCAAGCTTCAGGATGGGGAAAGGCGGGTGGGTTTTGGGGCTGGGGGAGCCGCGAGCCGTCCCACGCCCGCAGGGGTGCCGGTGTCTGCCCTGGTGATTTCCCGCCGTGCACGAGGGCTGTCCCGGCGCCGCCGTGCGACGTCAGCCCGCGGCTCCAGCGGCCCCCTGCTCCTGTGCCAGGGCGGGCTGAGCCCCGTCCCCTCCCGAGGGGCTGCCCGGCGGGTGGGGCACCCACGGAGCTGCCGGCGGCAGCGGCAGGGTCGTCCCCGCGGCTCCTCCAGCAGCACGGGCCGTTTTGGGGGTGAATCCTGGGGCTCGGCCAACGCCCCGCGGGCTCCGCCACCGTTTCGGACCCCACACCCCCGCTGGGATCTTGTCATGAGCCTGCAAGAGTGCGGTTTCAAAATGCCTGACAAAACACCTCCTGAGGACTCCACAGTCACAGATATACAAATAAACCAACCACTGGATTCAAAAGAGGAAAGGGAGCCCAGGCCTGACTGAACGAGCAGAAATCGCCCTGTGACCTTAATCAGGAGTAATATTGTTAACGCGTTTTTCCCCAGGTGCACCCAGGTTTGCATTCCCAGCAATTTGCACAATAATGAGGTGAGCTGACCATGCCTCACCCCGGCAGCAATCGCCCCCACATCGGCGGCACCGTGCCGGCAAGCTCCTCCGCTCCCGCTCTGCGGTGCGGCACGTCCCCGGCGCCGTGGGGCAGGGACGGGGGTGCTGGGGGCGGCCGGGGGGTGCAGGAGCCGTGCGCCCAGGCGAGCCCACTGCCGCCTCCGCGGAGCCTGGCTGGGTGCTCCTGCCCTGGGCCAGCCTCCTCTGGCCTTCATCCCCAGCCCTGAGTCCTCCTCCTCCTCCTGGGAAGTGGCTGCAGCGGCCGTCCCGCTCAGACCCCTGCCCTGAGCTGGGGGAGACGGGTGCCCGTCAAAGGTGCTTGTGTGTGTCGTGCACGGGGGGTGAGCGTGCACACAGGGGCACGCACGGGGGGAGCAAGCGCAGGGTGCAGGGCTGAGCGGGGGGTGGACGTGGCGAGCATCCTCCCTGCACGCTGGTGTTGGTGGTGCTGGAAAAGAGCAAATACCAAACTCATTTGCTTGAGGAGAAATTAATACGGTGTGGAGCCTGTAGTGGGTGATTTAAGAAGTGAATTTAAAATCTCAACACAAATAGATTTTTTTATAAGGTCAGAAGAAAGATTAAATGCTACAGACAAGCACAGCACTTGCCATTTCCAGCATCGCTTTTACCATAAATGTTTTGGGCTGGCGCCGTGCCCCAGCGCTGCCCACGTGGCTCAGAGCCCACTCGCCGTGGCAGGATGAGGAGGGACACCCCCGGGGAGGACGCGACGTCTCGCCGTCCCCTTCCTCACGCCGGCACGTGCGAGCAGCCAGCAGTGCTCTGCGGGCACGGAGGGCGGCGAAGGGGATGTGTGGGGCCACGCTGCCGGCGGCACTGGAGGGACCAGCCGCAGCCAGCCCCGGCAGGATCCGGCCCCGGGCCCCTCCGGCGCTGCCGCCAGCCTGCGAAGGTGCCGGCGGTGCGGGGGGGTTCGCGCAGCCCAAGCTGTGGTGCCCACCCGGCGCGGCGTGCGCCCACTGCCAGCTTCTGCCTCCCCTTCCCGCCACCTGGCAGGGACCAGGATTGATGGCAAGATGTTTGAGAGGCTCCAAATGTGGAGGTTATATGGCTGAGCCACCCCCATCCATCACGAGACGTTCATTATTAAGTAACACCCTGCATGCCGGGCTGATTTCACACCTTATCTGAACCCAGCAGCTGTGCCCTAAATCCTGAGCGCTGCGACTGTCTGGAGGAATTCGGCTGCCTGTGCTTAAAATTAGTGTTAGCATCTATCATTTCCCCACACCAAATGGCTTTTGTGTCGGCACTTGGCAGCGCTCATCCGTCACCGGGGCTCTGGGCTGCCCAGCTCCGTACCCTCTCCGTCACTGTCACAGGACCCCTCGTTGGCAAAATGTCACCCAAAGGACAAGCGGGACAGCTTGGCCTCTCCCTTCCGCCCGGGCTGGTGGCACTGCCGGCGGTGAGGGCGTCCTCCGTCCCCTCGGGCACGGCGGGCACCAGCTCAGCTCCCGGCGGGGCTGTCCCCGTCCCTCCAGCCCCGGCACGGCCTCTGGCCACCGCAGCCTCTCCGCTCCCCTGGCACGGTGACACCGGCGCCGCGGTGCCAGGCCGGGCCCCTCCTGCCCGCTGCCGCCGGCAGCCGTCCCCGGCGAGGAGCTCCTGCCAGGCGGGTGACGCGGGAGCTGTCGGCGTGATGAAAAGCCTCCCGCAGCAATGCAGATAACATACAAGCACAGGTCAGGCGAGG